ACTCTCTTTTGGCCTTGTACCCAGTCTTGGCCACTCACCCCTACCTAGTCACCCCTCATCAAGATCAATAGTACTACAAGTATTGTCTCAGAGGGGCCTCTGGAGGGACAAAATGATCCAAAAATGTGAGTCTTTTCTTTAGCTCTTACTGGCAAGTGATGCAAAATTCTAGACTTTCAAATTTTTTATGGTAACCAACTGAGTTATAAAGGAGTACTAAAATTTGTTAGTCACAAACTAAAATTAGCTTCTCACTGGAGTTCACAGAAGACTCTAATTCAGTTCTCTACTAAGAAGTCTGGCTGCCAGGCACTATTTGGCAACTTTGCAAAGCTCCTCCTGCACATACACACATGCTGCTAGTTAGGATTCTTGCAATTTTCAGGAAGGACACTTCGTTATTGGGGCATTACTAGCGATGTTTTGAGCTGGTCATGGTTTATGGTGCTTGACATTCATGCATTTTAATGACACATTATTATTCATGGAGCTTCATCATGATCAATTTAATATGCCACGAGTTATTTGATTAACCCTCTGGGGTAGAGGGATACACTTCTCTGAACTTATTTCCTGCCACCTCCCTCCTCCCATTTCCTTGCTGATCCAGAACATGTGTAGCAAGCTCCTATCTCAGGTTCTTTACACTTGCTGTGCCCTTCGTCTGGGATGCTTTCCCCCCAGATACCACATAGCTAACGCTTTAATTTCCTTCCGTTCTTTCTCAAATGTCACATGTATGAGGCCTTCCCTGACCACTATATTTAAATCATAATCTTCCGAATCCCTGAACTTCCTAGTCTATTTTCCTGTTTTATTTTTCTTCTTGACACCTACCACACCATCTGACAAACTTTATATTTTACTTATCTGTTTATTGACAACTTACCTCCTAAAAGTTAAGATCCATGAAAGCAGGGGTTTTTGATTCTTTTGTTTGTTGCTCTATTACTAATACCTAGAATGGTACCTTGTATATAGCAGCACTCAACAAATAATTGTTAAAGGAGAATGGCTATCTATCATCAGAATTTCTGATCTCTTAATCTCCAACACCCAGCTTTTAAGGCATGGGAATATGTGGTTCAAATATGAATCATTCATAGCCCTGTCAAAGCAGATATTAACATGAACCTGGAAAAACATGCTTCTACTGTGACATTTCCTTGTTATCCCTCCCCACTTGTCTCCCCATCCCAGGTTCATCCCTTCCCATCCTTCAAACACTCAGAGCAAAATTTCCAAAGAACCGTTTCCAGCCGAAGCCGGTTTGGCTCAGTGGATGGAGCGTCTGCCTGTGGACTGAAGGGTCCCAGGTTCGATTCCCGGTCGAGGGCATGTACCTGGGTTGCGGGCACATCCCCAGTGGGAGATGTGCGGGAGGCAGCTGATCGATGTTTCTCTCCCGTCGATGTTTCTGACTATCTATCTCTCTCCCTTCCTCTCTGTAAAAAATCAATAAAATATATTTAAAAAAAAAAAAAAAAAAAAAGAACCGTTTCCAAATTTTCCAATTAACTCATTTTCAGAAGTTAATATATTCCAGGCATTGTGTTAGGCTCAGGAGAATCAACATGAACAAGACAAACATGATCCTTGTCATCACAGAGTTTATATTCCAGGGGGGAAATTACCGGTCCTGCCTCCTGAAAGGGTACTTAATCCCTTGTAGGGGAATAGGGTGGCAAACCTGAGACCTGATATGTGAAGAGGAGATAAAGGAGAGATTTGGGGCACAGTGGCATGGAGCAGGTGGTAACAGACAGAAAAGATGGTACCAGGCAGGCAGGCAGGCAGAGGAAACAGCATTTCCAAAGGCCGAGAGGAGAAAGAGTGTGGATGGCACTTTCCAGGAAGTGAGGGCAATTCAGTGTGCTGTGGCTGTGGAATTTTCACAGAGCAATGGTGAGATCTGAAGTAGGGTGGGTAGTGGAGGCTAAACCTTGCCAGGCCTTGCAGACCATACCAAGCAAGTTGGACTTTTGGGACTTTTTCCTAAGAGCAAGAGGGAGCTACTGCAAGGTCTGCTCAGTGGAGCAACAAGAACAGTGTAGTCTAAACACTTCTCTATCCCCAAACAAACCCAACACTGATCTTCCCTCTCCACTGCAGGCATCCAAGTCATAGCTGCCTCCTCCCTGAAGCTTTTCTACTGCTCCAACCTGCATGTCTCCCTCCTCAGTGAAACAAGAAGGTGATGAATACAACCTTGCACAACCCAGCCTTTTCTCACGCCCCACCCACCAATATTTACATTGCACTAAAACAATCCTTGGGGGGTGGGGGGAGGGGGAAGCGCTGGTGTGTGCAGGGCCAGGTAACCTAGATTTCTCTGCTTCCTGTCTGCAGCCACTTCTCTCTGCTCTCAGTGTAATTAGCCTCTAATGTCTTCCCTAATGGGCTTTTATAAAAACTCATCCCAAGCTTGTTCGAACCGCAAGTGCTAGAAAAGACAAATCTAACCTGTAGTGACAGAAAGCAGATCAGTGGTTATCTGGGGTGGGGGGTTCAGGAGAACTGACTGGGATGAGGCACGGGGGAACTTATCTGGGTAGAGGAAGTGTCCTATATCTTTATTGTAGTGGTGGTTCACAAATGTACAAATTTGTCAAACCTTGTCAACATGGACAACTAAAATGGTCCATTTTATTGTACGTAAACCAGACCTCAGTAATGCTGAACTTAAAACAATCTGGACCCAGACAATAGTGTGGGGAAGGCCTGGGGTAGGGTGAGGGCTGGGTGGAGGGGGGAAGGGGGAATGATGGGGGATATCTATAATACTGTCAATAAATAAATAAATTAATTAAAAAACAATAAGTAGACCCAAACACAATACATATATGAGCTTCGAAACAAAAGTTCAGCCCTAACCGGTTTGGTTCAGTGGATAGAGCATTGGCCTGTGGACTGAAGGGTCCTGGGGTTCAATCCCAATCAAGGGCACATGCCCAGGTTGCAGGCTCGATCCCCAGTAGGAGACATGCAGGATGCAGTCAATCGATGATTTTCTATCATCATTGATGTTTCTATTCCTCTCCCCCTCTCCCTTCCTCTCTGAAATCAATAAAAATACATTTTTTTAAAAAAGTTCAACCCCAACATAAAACTAGGGCATGGCCATATGGGAAAACCAGCCTCCTCATGTTTGCAGAGATCTAAGAAATATGAGTCCATCTGCTATGCAAGCCCAGGTGAAAGGAACAAAGACTAATATGGAGGAGGCCAGACCAAAATACAGTATGGACAAATATTTTCTCTCCAAACCTCAAAATACCTAGGAATGAGTGAGGGAAATTTAGAATAAGTAAATAAATAGAAGTCCTGCCTCACAGAGCCAGAAACTGCATATTAGTCCCAGGGTGTTAATTCATAAAAGGCTTGGGAAAAGTGATTTTTAAAAATATATTTTATTGATTTCAGAGAGGAAGGGAGATGGAGTGAGAGATAGAAACATCAATGATGAAAGAGAATCATCGATTGGCTGTGCCCCGCACTGCGGATCAAACCCACAACCCAGGCAGATGGCCTGACCAGGAATCGAACGTGTCCTCCTGGCTCATAGTTCAACGCTCAACCACTGAGCTATGCTGGCCAGGTGGGAAAAGTGACTCTTGAAGGACTGAGTACCTTCACCACAGAGGGCTCCTGGAGAAGCGGGGCCTTACCTCACCTTCTAGGTGATGCTGGGGAGGAAAGCTCTCTGTGCTGAGTGGGTAAGGGGGGTGACTCTTGGGTTTCCTGTGAGAAGGGATGACATCTGGCCAGGTGGCAACAAGAACACAAAGTTCACACAGCTGGATGAGTCACAGGAGTGGACCAGGGGCTCACAAGGAAGAGAGACACACGAGGCTCCAGAAATAGTTGGGGGGAAATGTTTGGGGTGTGCAATGTGTGAATGGGGACAGGGATGGGAAAGAGGTCTCTCTCCTCTTCCTCTTTACCTGACCTGTCTCTCTTCACAAGTCTCCCGGCACAGAAAATCTAAACCAAACTCTGGCGCATAATCCGTCCCGTGTCTCCTGTACAGTTCTCCTGTACTCCCTTTGTGGGCTCCCAAAGGTCTGTGTCCACACTTAGCCCAGCACTGGCTCACACAGCAAAGCGCTGGAAAAATAATTTCTTTGGGACACGAATGTGAGGGCAATAGTTGTACATGTTGACCTGGTAGTGGGAGTGGGGGTGGGGAGTTCAGGAGGATGGGCTGGTCAGGATGGGTCAGTGGAGTGGAGTGAGGTAATGGAATGGTGAGGGAGGACAAGTGAAATGTAGGAAACAGTGGATCAGTGGCGGTGTGGGAGAGAAGGCTAGGATTAGTAGGAGAGAACAGGAAAGGGTCAGGGATCCTGTGGGGACACAGGCCAGGGGTCACAAGGAGAGAGAAGGTTAGGGGTCAAGAGGGAAAGGAAGATGAAGGATCAGTAGGAGAGGTATGATCAGTAGTCATTGGCGGTGAAGGTCAGAGTTCTTCTCTAGAGGGCAAGTTGGAGTGTTACCGGCTTACGTGGCTGCGGTTTGTGGGGCATCTTCAAAGAAGCAGGTAGCTGCCACCTGAACACTTGGGGCGTCTACAAAACGCTCCCTTTCCTGAAGACAAGAAGCTTGTCCGTCCCCTCGATCACGCACGGGAAATCCGGATTCTCTTTCACTTCAATTCCCAGTCCCAGGGGTTCTTTGGGGGACAGCCGTCGCTGTGGGTCTCCGCACCTTTGCCGGAGGGAATCGGCTCCTCCCGGACGCGGTTACCTAGCAACCAACCGGCAGCCAGCGCGCAGGCGCTTCTGACGCCCCCTAACGGCTTCAGCGGGTAGCGGGGCAGGGCGTGCGAGGAAACCCAGCTCCACTAAGTCCCGCCCCCTCAGAATGACAGGACCCGCGGCCGCGCGCATTAGTAACCCCTGCATGTGGGAGGGGCTGGGGCGCCCAGATACCGCCCCCTCATGAATAATGCACATTCGGGCGGTGCCCGGACCCGGAAGTGGAGTTGCCGAGTCACCGCAGTGGCTGAGCTGTTGACAGGAGGCGGTGGCGGAGGAGGAGGCGAGGCCGGACCCGCGGCTCTGCCCCGCCACCGCCGCGGTAGTGCTAGGCAAGCCCACGGAGCCACGCGGGCCTCAACCCGCCAGCGAAACTCCCGCCCCGCTCCCACCCGTCGATCTGCTCGGCCGCCCGCCCGCCCTACTCGTCCAGGGCGGCCTAGTCTGCACCACCCGACCGGCTCCTGGGGCTGCCGCCCCGCGCGGTCCCGTTGGCGTCCCTGGCCGCGCCCGGCCTGGGTTCGCTCGCTCGCCGGCACCATGATGGAGGAGATCGACCGGTTCCAGGTGCCCACCGCGCACTCGGAGATGCAGCCGCTGGTGAGGGGGCGGGCGGCGGGCAGGCCAGGGCCGGGAGGGGGCGCCGCCTGAGGAGGAGGAAGGGAATCAGGCCTCGGGAACTGAGGGACCGCCTTCTAGGAGGCAAAGAGAGCCTTGAAATCACATCACTGGGGAGGGTGACCTGCAGGACCTGAGAACCGTGGGAGAATCCGCGAGGCGACAGCGAAGGAGCCTGTGAGGGCGGGGGCGCAGTCGGAGGAGGCAGGCCGAGGGAGCTACGGGGAGCACTGTCGGGTGGAACCGAGAGGGGCACAATGGTGCACACCAGCGGGGGCCCGCCGCTGGGAAAGAAAGGGGATTGTCATGGAGCGCCGTGGGCGGCAGGCCCGGGAGGCTGGCGTGAGCGACGGGAAGGCGTTTCGCCCTGGAGGCCTGTGATGTTCAGGGCGGGGGAGGGGACTGGAGAGCAGTCGGCTGAGAGGTACCGGGAATAGGCTTGTAGAGGAGGGGGGCCCGGCCCGCCAGTGTGCTGATGTGGATGCGAACGCGGGGGCAGGGATCCGTAGGGGCAGAGGTCGGTGCAGGACCCGGGGATTCCCTTTTCCGGAGGAGAGCGCAGGTAGTCTAAGCCGGCGGCACGGGCGCCGGGAAGGAGGAGAGCGCGCAGAGGCGGGATGGAGAATCTGAGGCGCGGACGAGAGGGGCTCCCGAACCGACGGGCGAGGGGGCAGGGCTGCGCCGGGGCCGTGGGGAAGAGCCCCCATCCTCCTAGGCCTAGGTGTTTGGAGCCCTTGCTGGGCGCCGATCCGACCGCCTGTCCGCGGTCCCGGAGTCTGGGAGGCATGATGTCATCGCTGCCGGCGCAGAGGGGATGGAAGGGGGAGGGCGACGCGGGCGCACCGCGGCCAGGCCTAGGGCAGACCGAGCCCGCTGCCCACCGCGGCGGGGGGAGAGGGGGAGCACCTGACTGGCTTGCCCGCCGCCTAGTGGAAGAGAGGCCGAGAGAGAGAGAGAGAGAGAGAGAGAGAGAGAGAGAGAGAGAGAGAATCCAGGGAGCGCCCTGGCTCTGTTCTCAGTTCGCTTTTCCTTCTCCTTCCCCCCCCCGCCCCGCCCCCCGGAGCCTTAGGGGGAGCTGGAAGGAGTCAGGGCAGGCCAGAAACCTAAAGGTTGGGTCCCCTATTCTCTGAGTTCTGCTGGAACCTAGCAGAGCTCTCCAAGACTTGCAGATATTGGGCTCCCTACGGCTCATCCCTCTGTGTTAGGCCAGGAGGTGAGGAACAGCTTCTACCCTTGGGCCTCCAGGCCTCTGGCTTACAGATGTGCTTTGTGGCTTCCCGAGCAACCTGCCCATCACAGCAGCCAAGACAGACCTTGGTAGGAAGCCATGACCTACTCTAAGCCACACTTTTTGGGAGATGGTAGAGAGAATCATTGGAGGCTACCTGGCAGGAGATAAAAGTCATTTTCCCCCTTTTGTGACTACTTAGTTCCAGAAGCCAAAAGAGAAGCTGCACAGAAGTGTACCATATTACACTGGGGAGAGAGTTGCTGGCCTGATGCCATCATTGGATTATTTAGGGGGTCAGAAAAACTTGGTGACAAGTTTGTCCCATAATATTGAAGAACTTTGGGCTGGATTAAGAGGACTTTCCTTTCTGGATTATTTTTCCACCCAACCTGGTTTGTCAAACTAGATTGCCCTTCCAATTCTAAGCATCTAATCAAGAACCCAAAGGGAGGGTGGATGAAGGAGGAGGAGGACGTCCAAGTGAGTCAGAAGAGCGCAATGGGTTGGTTCTTGCCTCCCATGTGGGGTTCCTGAAAAGGGAGGCAATAACTGTCCAGGGAAGGGGGGGAAGGAATTGAATCACTCGGTTCTCTCCGTTGTCCTTGGTGCCTCCATCATTGCCTAAAGTTTTTAATGATGGTTTGAGTGAGTAGTGGTTCCGGAAGACTCCCAAGCTGTGGCTCTGGAGGAGAGGTGCAAGGAGACATTTATCAGAAAAACCAATTGCCTTCAGACCTTTTTCTTGAAGCCTGAAGGAGTCCTTCTCTGCTAGGGGCTGCTTTGTTGCAGTTGAGTGAGAGCCTTATGGAAGTAGCAATGCAGCCATCCCCCATTTGAGGACCATAGACACTGACCTGCAGATTTCTGTTACTTGATCGTTGTTCCCAGGTTAAAGCCCAAAGGACTCCCAGAATTCCTTAAATGCTCTGTATGTTGTTGAGACCAGCAGAATTTTGTGTGGCATTTCCCCAAGAGCCTTCATTTCAGGGTATAAGGACTCAAGGTGGTATACCATAGAAGAGAAAGGCAAAATGGCTCGTTAGGAGTATCTGGGTGGACCGTAACAACTAGGGTCCCAGGCTTGAACTCAGCTGTGACCAATCTTATTTCTTGCCATTATTTATTGAGACCTCTATTCTAGGAAGTCTCTCCTCTTCTCCGGACTTAGTTTTCCCATTTATTAAATGAAAACAAGCTATCTCTTTAAAGGTTAAACAATAGCTCCTCACTCTCTCTTCCAAAGCATAGCATAGGGACTTGATATTACTGATTCTGAAAATTCATTCACCTGATATTTATTGAGCATCTGCTCTGTTCTAAATACTACACTAGGGGTTAGGAACACTGTGGTTAACAACATACATGCAAAGATGGCCCTGCCCTCTGGAAGCTCACAGTTCAACAGAAGTTTATTGTTCTTGCTCACTCCCTCAGGGTGAGCCTCTCTGAGGGCAGAATGGGGGCTGTCTCCTTAAACCCTAAAGGAAATGAGGCAATGCTGGTGCCAGCATCATTCCCTCTTTCTGGACTAAGCTGTATGTACTTGTACAGGCCTGTCATGTGGGCTCGATCATCAAATAAACCTCCCCTACTCATAGTAGTGGGAAGAATCCAGAGGCCATCCCTCACTTGGAAAAATGAGCTCTGAGGGGAGAGTATCTTTATTATTTTTTTTATCATTTACTTGAAAGAGAAACTCGAGCTTAAAAAGGAGGCCTAGAGGAGTGGCATGAGCTGGAAGAGAAGGCACAGCCAGCAGATCTGGGTGTTTCCAAGGTGCTAATTTAAGCATTAGTTCTCAGTTTAGTGGGAAGAAGCCATCCCTTCCCTGTTCCTGCTGCTGCTGTGCAGCAGCTGCAAGGAGCCTTCCTCTGGGGTGGGAGTTGGCCTGAGGGCGTGGCCTCCCTCTTTCCCTCATCACACCAATTATTTAATTGGCCTGGCGGCATCTCAGCAGCTGAACCAGGCCTGGGCTTATCCCTGAGAGCTCCCCAGGGTCTCTTCCTGTCTCCTTATGAAAGGAATGAGAGCTCCTCTTGGAGCCCTAGTCCCTGGGCTCCACTCCTGCTCTCTCCTAGATAATCCTTAGTGTTTTTGAGCACAGATTTCCCTAAAAAACTGCCAGGGATAGGCACATCTTGTATGTCAGTTCTGTGTCCAAGCCACATAACTCACTGATCTGGGGACACACCCATCTGTCCAAGGCTCTCTGTTGAGCAATTGGGTTGAATTTGGGCTATTGTTTGTGGCTCTGTTGTCTGTCTGCTGGGCTGGTTGGTGCAGTCTCACAGTCTGTCTTCTACTTGGCTACAATTGGAGAGGAAGAGATTTGTGGAAAACAAAACACACAAATGGAGCTTTTAAGCACTTAATTGTGTCGGGCAAAACCCTGCCTCCTGTGCTTTCAGAGACCAAAAAATGGCATATGGCACCAGACAGGGTCTCTGTACACTTGACCGAAATGCTAGCCGGGGCTCCCTGAAACCTAGGTTGTCTGTTAACTCATTTGTTTAATTCATGAGCATATGCTCAGTTCCAGGTACTTTAAGGACTAAGACAATGAGATCTCTCCAGTGGTTGGCCGGAAGGATGGGCTCAAATGGCTATAGCAGCGGTTCTCAACCTGTGGGTCGCGACCCCTTTGGGGGTCGAACGACCCTTTCACAGGGGTCGCCTAAGACCATCGGAAAACACATATATAATTACATATTGTTTTTGTGATTAATCACTATGCTTTAATTATGTTCAATTTGTAACAATGAAATTGGGGGTCACCACAACATGAGGAACTGTATTAAAGGGTCGCGGCATTAGGAAGGTTGAGGGCCACTGGGCTATAGGAAGGTTTTAGATACATGCCAGGAAAGAACGGAGATCAATGGAGGGTGCTCCTGAGAAAGGGTGACACCTCCCTTGGGAGAAGATGAAAAATGCTGAAGTTCTGACCCTTTGACCACCTGAGTCTTAAACTAGTTTCATACTCCTCCTGCCTCCTGACACTCAGGGATGGGGATGGTCAGGACATTAATTCAGTGAATGGACCACAACAGCTCCTGAAAAGTGGCAAGAGCCACTATGGAAAATTAACCTACATGTATTATGTGGTCAGGGAGCCTTAAGTTGCCTCCTGGTAGTCAGATGACTTTTCAATTTAAGGATGGACTCTCCTAATGGGTCGATATGGCTTATGACCTAGTATTTCTCAGGTTCTAGAATGAGCCCTTTTCTCTTTTCCTATATTGCAAAGTGAGGATCAGGTCTACTTAGGCCTCTACCTTACCCCTTACTGCTTTACTCATCGCCTCAATCAACAAATACTAAGAACCTACCTTCTGCCCGCTAGATGTTGTGCTGGAATCCATAACATAGAATTTTGCTCCAGGGATAGGCATAATCAAGATGGATTGAGGTACAACAGAGTAATGAGCACTGCAAAAGGAAGAACTAGGTCCACCAGGACCAAAGGAAAACAGGAAGGACTTCCATTAAGTGGCCAGAGAAGGCTTCACAGAGGAGTCATTGCTGAACTGACTTTTAGAAGAGGTGTAGAAGGTTGGCAGATGAGACGAGGTCAAGAGTTCCAGGCAAAGGACATGGAGGAAAAAACAAAAAGGTGCATTTGAATGATTGAAGGATTTTTCTTAAGGAAATAACATTATCAAATTTGAGTTTAGGATTAAACTTCAGTATCGGATAAGAGATTAGACAAGGTAAGATTGGAGGTCAGAAAAGAAATATGAAGGTGGGTACA